GCATCTGGAGTGGCAGTACATTTGTTATTACTGCACCTGGTGTATCAGTACATTTGTTATACTGCACCTGGAGTAGCAGTACATTTGTTATACTGAATCTGGTATGGCAGTACATTTGTTATTCCTGTAATTTTTCAGATGAGCAAAACATTGATATTTTAATCAATAATGCTGGTGTGATGTGTTGTCCCCAGTGGAAGACAGTTGATGGCTTTGAAATGCAGTTTGGTGTTAACCATCTAGGTAATTACAGTGTAATTCCTGTCATGTGATTTGTCACCTGATATTTATTCAGATTATGTAGCATTTGGTTTGCATGGCAACTTCTATATTGTAAATTGAGATAATTTCAACTGAATTTGGACAAAATGTCCATGCAGATATACACAAATAGAATCTTACTCTGTTATGCATGTATATTATCAAAGATTTATAGAATAGGGTATGCAACATTTATAAATATGCGAGATTTGTGAACATTTGAAAGTGATTTCATTTTATGTGCAACAGTCACATTTATTTCTAACCTACAGTATTCCAGAATGCAGTGTGTTTGAAAATGTTTGATTGCATAAACAGAAATGAACAAGATTGAGTAAAAATGTTAAACATACATTTTACACACTTTGCAAATAAGAACTGACATTGACAAAAACTGTCTGAGAAGGACTTGAATTAGTTTTATTCATAGACTCACTAATTTTCATTAGGATTAGGATTTCTAGAAATGTAGCATTCTTTAGCAATTTTGTTACCATATCACAATTTGTATGACTTTTTCAATTTGCATATGATTTTAATTTTTCAAAAAAAAACATTTACCGGGTAATAGACAACAGGCAACATGCTTCAATGACATATTTATATATTCACTGATCTACAATTCTGTAAGTTTCAATCATCTGTGACTCATTGAATTTGTCAGAAAGTTATTCAACTTGTAGTGTTTGTAAATTGCAAACACCGGTAAACGTCTATCGAAGGTTGTAATACTATTTCTGGTTTGTTTGTCCAGGACATTTTTTTCTTACAAATCTTTTACTCGATAAACTGAAAGATTCTGCTCCAAGCCGTATCATCACTGTCAGCTCTGTATCACACAGCAAAGGGGAAATAGATTTGGATGATCTGAATAGTGAACGACAATACAGTAGAACACAGGCATACGCTAACAGTAAACTAGCTAATGTGTTATTTACCCAGGAACTGAGTAAACGATTAAAGGTAAGTGTCTTTTATTGTGATTATTATGAATTCCAAACTGTCACTTAACTGGTAGCATAGTGGTTGTTGCATCAGATCTTGATTGGTAGACCCAAGTTCAAATCCTACCTTAAGCTGAACACCAAAAAGGGTTAACCCCTACAGTGGGTGAGTGTGCCACAGACTCATTCAGTAACGAATGTGACTTTGGGGGAACTATGGTTAAGGTTCGCAGGTGCTTGTGTTCCATTGAGACTGGATAGTGTATTAAATTGCATTTGATAGAGAGATGGCCGCACAGCCATGTCATGTACAAATGTAATCCCAAACATGAATATGACTTCTGTGGCAAAAATGCACTACATGTCAGCACTAGCACTTGCAATTTGCACATACAAAAAAAGTCAGGAAAGACAACAGTCACATCCAATGTCCAGAACTCTGTCGCCTTGCACTAAAACTGAAAAAACTAACCAAAAGCATATTTAAAGATTGGTCTGTGATGCACACCATTGTTTCCTGTATAGCCATTAGGTCCCTCCCTTTTGAATTCATAGGATGACTATTTTACTATATATTGCAGACAACTTTGAAAGGTCAAACATATCAATGCTGCTATAATTTATATTATGAATGTATCATATATTCATCACAGTGGTTTCGCTTGCAGAGATTTTTGCTTGGCACTAGTTTCTATGGTGAAATTAATTTTTCATATCTCAAAATGTTTCTCTGGGATATGGGATGTAAAAGTCATTATTGATATGAATCATGAGATTGTTAAAACATTTAAAAATTGCCATGTAATTTAGTGAACTTCTAAAGTGATAATTGTTTTCTATTGCATACAATGGGGAGTATATCCCATAATACAATGCATATATGTGCAGTGACAAGCTAAGTTGCATACAATGGGGAGTATATCCCATAATACAATGCATATATGTGCAGTGACAAGCTAAGT